CCTCCCAACACACATGGAGCCAGAACCTCAAGAAAATAGGAAAGAACACATCAATCCACATCCCAGCCAGCACGTTCTCGCCCTCCAACAATCAAGCTTCTCTAGCGCCGCTATTATCCCACCAACACCTAAACCCCTAAGAGTCCAGCCTAAATCCCACTAGTCTTGGCCTTTTATCAGACACAAAATCCGGTCAACCTCTCCGCAACCTAAAAAATAAGCCATCTTCTATTCCATTGGGCACAGAGTCTGAAAAAGCTGTAAAATAGTATGATGAGCTTCTTGTTCCCAGCAAAGAGTGCAGCAATCAATTGCGATAGGGTTTAGGGCTTTAGATAAGACCACCGCATAAAGCCAAAACAGCTGTTCCAGTGAGGAAGAAAATTTTGACAACCAAGGAGCTGAGAGGAGCAGGTGGGATTGACCCCAATCAATCAGATTACAAGATGCGATATCCAATTCAGAAGTAGCTCAGGCTAACTTAGGCAGGGGTGAGGGATGGTACATCCTTCCCTGGGGGAGTAATCAATGTCGTTCGACAGCATAAGGGGGAGGAGCGTGGGTGAGTACTCATTGTAATCTTTTCTGACTTGCCGGTGGAATAGGAACCGGATTGATGCTTCCCAGAATGGAAAAGGAGCCAGAGCCCTAAGGTTCTATTTAAAATAAAAAAAATAAAAAATAAAGAAAAGAACAGGTTTTTCCAAGTTCAGCAGTTTCAGCATCTGGCCGACACCCTACTCCAGGTGAAGACGCCAGGGATCAACGGTAGATCGTTGGAGGAGTAGCCACAGGGTTCATACAGAAAGCAGGAGTCCAACATTCGACCTTTTCAACCTCTTCTTCGACATAAGAGAAAACACCGGCTGAAGTGAGAAACATTGAAGCTTGTTCCCCCTCCCTTCGTTACTGGCTATCCCCAACTCAGACCCTCTCTCCTCACTACAGCCCCGGTCACTCCCCCGCCCCCCGCCTGCCCCCTCCGTAGGCGACGTTCTCCGTCGTTTGCCGATTTTACATCCCTGGCAAGACCCCTCCCCCCACGAAGTTCACGCTCTCCTCAATAATTTCCCCACCTCACCCCGGCTTGGCAACCTCTGTCTCGTTCGTCGCCCCTCAACGAATTGTTCGTACCCCACCACTCCCACGCCTCTCATATTTTTCAATAACCTCCGGTGTGACATAACCCCTTACCACTCCTACCTTAAATCCCTCTCCGCTCATAAACCCCACCCCGTTCACCAAATCTTACACGGCTCATAACCACCGTAACCCCCAATCCGCCCGTAACTCCCACACAGCACAATACCGCCATACCGCTTGTTACCCCCAATCCACCCATATCTCGCACACATACTTTTCAACCATCCAGTTGTCCCCGCCACCCCTCCCCTCCTTCCCTCCCCTCCTCGTCCTACACAACTACCAATCTTGCCCCCTCGAATCAGCTTTAGTCCCCATCTTGCCCCTCGTCACTCACTCTCTTACCCATGTCCCACCACTCATAACTCCCACCTCTCACACCTCCTACACCCCACACAATCTCCATTTCGCTTATCCCGTCGAATCTCTTTCTCCCCGTCCCTCTCTCTCCAACTAATCTCTTAGTTCAGGTTTCCCACCCCAACGCCCTAACCGTGCCCTTCAATTCGCCGTACTAGACCTTGGGTTTCAACAAAATATACAGCCATAGTATCGGGCCACTGTGGGTTGTTTCCTTCTTTTACGAATTGTTTAGTATCAGACTGTATCGCCATCCCTCATCCTTTCTAGATCTCTTTCATTTCACCGGTATCACTGTAGCTGGGTTTTACTCTCAATGGATAAGATCGAACCTCTATAGTGGTAACAGGGGTAAGTAGGCGTGTCTGCTGCAGTCCAGCAACCAGGAATAGTCCAGGCGATGGCC